GCAGAATTACATAATAGTAGTAGTCTGTGTCTGTAAGACTATGTATCAACCAGACTTTGTGAATGGGATACTCTCCTTATAGTAAATCCTTCCCCTCTGGGGTGCAGATCATGAGATGCATCCCAGAGGGGAAGGATTTACTTTTCACTAAATTCAGTGGATGCAGGGGAGCTCCAATCCCTTAATCATTTAGGTATAGTGAACAACCTTCACTGTGCTCCTGTTAACCAAGTCATGGAGCTTGAAATAATCTCATAAACAGACTCTGGGGCTTGGAATTGTGTGGACTAAGATAAATGTGACCTGAATGAGATTGTGTAAAACATTTGGTCTGTGACACAGCTGTTGAAGCCATTATCATTTAGCAATTATATCATCATAAAGCTGTCAACTGTGCAGTGCTTACTGGTAGCATTCCAGATTCTGGAAGCCCATGCCAAACACTTATCTGGCTTGCTTTGCCTCTGCAATGAAAAGAATTTTATGTTGAGAGACTCTTTTCAGTAGTTCAATAGTGAACTGCCCAAAGAGACTTTTCGAAGAGACAGTGAAAAAAAATATGGAATAGCAAGGATCAGAATGGTTGAGGTAGAATTTTCATATCTATTCCCACAGAATCTTTCCTTCAAACCCTTCCTGGTTTCCTACACACTGGCTTCAGGAAGCAGTGAGATGGATTCTTCACAGCTCTGTTCTCTGTAGGAACTACAAACACTTTCAACTGTTTTTATTTTCCTCAGACATTTTAACAAGATTAAAGAGGGAAAAATGCAGAAGAGAAACAGAGAGGTGAAGAAAGAGAGAGCTGCTTAGTGAATGAATGGTGGCCCACAGGATAATTCTTTTTCCTGCTTAGAATTAATTTAGCTTTAATGGTTGTTAAGTGGGATTTGTATAATAGGTTGTGTCTTTTAAAGCATTTAATTTACACAAGCTCAGACATTTCAGAAGGACCATTACAGACCTAGCTGTCTCTTCAGTTTAGCTTCTTCAAGAGAAAGTAAAAAGTAAATTGGCATTATGATTTGAGGGGAACCTATCACTTGAAGTAGTCTGGGCTTAGATAGGCATAGATTCCAAAATTTGAGGACAGTTTGTATGTCTGCAGGGTCAAGGAAAAGTGAAGTTTTTACTTTGCAGTGGTCTGTGTCATTTTTATAGAACTAATGGTGACAGAAGTTACAGTCTTGCAGCTAAAATGGCACATAAAATCTCTCCTAGTTGACTTTAAGTCAGAAAATGGAATGTATATTCCTGGTAGCTTCAGCAGGTAATATAACTATTCCTATGAGACTAGGACTAGGATTGCCTTCTTCCAACTTATTAAGAGGGCTACGAGTGCAGAACCTCAATCATAAACCTATACAGTTTAAGGGAACAATTTTATTGTTTTTAACGTATCTAAATTCAGTGCACTGCAGGCAGCATCAGTAACTTCCAAAAGGAAAGTTGAAATGTAGTGCAGGTACAAAGAGTCAACTTATTTGGTACAGCAAAACATATCTTCCTCTTTCCCGTGTGTGTGAGAGTCAATTTAGAAATTATAATTTATTTATGCAAACATCTCAAAAATTAAAAGAATATTTAAGACTCTTCAGCTTTGAGATTCCATTTATGGAATCACAGTGAATATCTTGAGGTTGGAAGGAATCTCTGGAGATTGTCTAGGCTGACCTCTGCTCTTGAATAATAGTCAGCTAGAGCAGCTTGCTCAGTATTCAATCAGGTTTGAAACATCTCCAAAGATATTAAATATCCAAAGATATTCAAGGGCTGTACAACATAGCTGGGTAACCTGTTCCTGTGTTTGACTACCCTTACAGTAAAAAATGAGGGGGATTATTTTTAAACAGAATTTCCTGGAATTGAATTTATGCCTCTTACACAACGGAGAATAGCTGATATTGTTTTCTTTATTCACACATTTATACCCATCAATAAGGTTCTTCCTGAACCTTCTTTTTTAAGGCTAAATAAACCCAGATCTCTCAGCCTCTCCTCTTATGGAAGGTGCTCCAGCCCCTTCATGATCTTAGTGGCCCTTTGCTGGACTTGCTCCAGCATGTCCCTACAATTCTTGTGCTGGGGACTCCGGAACTGTATACATATCTCAGATGTGATCTTCCTGGTGCATAATAGGGGTAATGAATTCCTTGATCTGGGAATACTTTTCTTAGTGCAGTCAGAAACGCTTTGGACTTATTTGCTGCAAGGGCATGTTGCTGACTCATCTTCAACCTCTCCTTGAGGCCTCCTACATCCCTTTTTTTTTTTTGCAAAGCTGCTTTCCAACTTTGGTACATGAGGTTATTCTTTCCCATGTACAGGATGTTCCCTTTCTCTCAACAGGTGTATCAATCAGTCCTCCCAGTTTTATATCATCTGCAAAATTGCTGAGGGTGGACTTTGTCCATCTGCCCAACTCATTATTGAAAATGTTAACTTGTGCTGTACAGGAGATGGATGGCATCAATCATCATTTTCAGCCACTGCAGTGAAGAATGATATGTAACAATAGCAAAAGTTCTCCACAACAAAGAGTAGTTTAGCAAATATATCATCTATTTCACTGGCAAACATGTCTGCTGCAATGACAGAGTTCTCTTGGGAACAGTCTTATAAATAAGAGCATCTTCCTCTCAGGAAAAAAAAACCAAACAAAAAAAACCCCAAGCAACAACAACAACAAAAAAAACCCACCCCAAATAAAAACCAAATCAAACCAAACCAAAACAAAACAAACAAACAAACAAATGAAAAAAAATTCCCAAAAAACCCACCAAACAAACTGGTGGGTGCAGGACAAAGAAACTGTGATAAAGAACTGACTTGCAGAAAAAAAGGAGTCAGCAACAACTTTGCCAGGCACTGATACCCTATGCCTACTTATGTATCTACACCAAAAAGGTATAAAATAGCTAATTGCTTACTTTAAATGAATTCTCTGCAAGAGCTTCATTGCATGAGATTTCCCTGCCATGACAGGAACCTTGCTGGGGAATCCTGGCTGACTCCAGACCCTGTGATTTTGGTAATCTTTAAAGCGCGATTTCCGCTCTTGATTAGCCTTACTCCTGAGAGAATTTTCTTGAGTGTCATACTAGTAACATCTCATATAATATATAGTAAGTAGAAAGCAATTGTCTGAGTTTTAATTCATAGTCCTTAGAAAGTTAATAAAACATTTGGGCAGAGGAAGAAAATAGTGAAAAGGCCTCACAAATCCAGAACAGTTTTCTGAATTAATTAAAAACTTAGGAAATTTGTCCTGCTGGAAATCATCCTAACCTCTCTGCAGATTTATACACTATAATAAATTACCAGCTGCATTTGAAGAGTTCCTTCTATCTCTACAACTGTAAAATGACATGCTATAGCTTTGCTGAAACTGAGACACCAATGCTAAGTGTAAGGTCCTCAAAACCCTTTCACCTTTAAATTGTATTGAAACCCAAAACATTTCAATACCACATTATTTTGCTGGTCTAAAGCTAACTGGCTAATGAGGAGGGATCAGTCATGGATGTAAGAAGAGGCTGAGTGAGCATCATAAGGGTTAAAGTGCTAAACTAGTGACCCAAAGATGTGGTGGGGGACAAAAAGGGGTTGGGACTACATGGTCTTTAAGGTCCATTCCAAACCCTTAACATTCTGTGATTGTATGCTTCTGTAATTTTATGATTTTGTGTTGTGTTTCACTGGAATTGATCTGGTTCTTGATTTCAGTCAAGAACCATATTTTCAGGCCACCATTTTCTGAAAGCTCTAGTTTTCACATGCCATAAGTGAGCTGGTGGCTCACTTACATTATCCTTCAGAGACAGAGGCTCCCTTGAAGCACCTGCAGGGAAAATGCACATGTGCTCCTCCCAGTTCAGATGCCGGTGCTCCTCCCAAGAGGATGGATTTTTAAATCAATGGAATGTGTTTCAATGAAAATCTCCTGGACATGTTACTTGATGTGCATCTCATAGAATGATTTCGCTTTGTATGTGAGCTGCAGTAACAACAGACTAATAAATTATTTGACTCTTGTCTTATTGGCTAATGAAAATGATTGCACAGCTGTCAAAGAATTGGAACTTGGACATGCACATTCTCTCATGGATTTCAAACACCAGTGTTACTGGTCAGCAAGCACACACTACAGAAATAATCTAATGTGCTGAGATGCTGTAATTATTATTTGTAGATAAAAACATCATGTGCTCCAGGACACTGGCACTTTATAAAAATTTAAATTTCTGGGAAAAATGCAAAATTTGTCTTACTCTGCTTCCTAGGCTAGGAAAAAAAATAGTTAAATTTCTTTTGCAACATGTAAAACTAGTGAAAAAAATATCTGTCCCTTCAATAATTAAGGGCAAGATGGATCATAGACTCTTTATCATTGCTAGATTGATAGTACATCTACTATGTCATTAGCAAAAATTTGTCCATTTTCTGGATGATCTGTGTTACTGAGTTTGATGACAAACCCCTTCTGCTCCTTATGGAGAGCTGACTATTGTAAAGGGATGAATAAAGTCCAATTTTGTTCACACCTTCCCCTCCATGCAAAAGTAGTGTTAAATACCTGAGAATTTCCAGCAGATGGCCAACAAGTTGATTAGTGTCCAAGATGATTAGGTGGCATGTGACATACAAGAAAAAATGAGAGACTTGCTATTCTTTGCTTGGAGAGAAGAAAGCTAAGGGCAGGTGGGTCTAAGGGAGGTGTAATTCCAACCTTTCACTACCAAAAAAAGGCAGATGTAGGAAATAGACTCCATGCCATAATGACAAGTTGGAATGGTTAGGGAATGAAGGAATAAAAGGAAAAGAAATTGCCCTTGAGGGTCCTACTGTGCCAGAAAAGAGAATGACCAGAAAGATTGTAGAACCTCCCTCCTTGCAGGTTTCCAATTATCAGATGGGTACGTCCCTAAGCAACCTCCTCTAGGTTACAAACTGGAATTGCTTTAAGTTGGAGGTTGGACCACAGACCTCCACTCCTTCAGCTAAAAAGTATTCTTTGATTCTATGAAATCATCTCTTGATTGTCAAAGAGCACAAAGTATACAGACATTTAAACTGGATATGACACTTCAATACCACTTTTTGCTACAAACATCCCACTGTATTTCTTTCATGCTGGGCAAAGTGAAAATAACTAGTGTAAAGTGTCCCTGTCTTAAGATCTTCAGTATGTATAGCTAAGACACACAAAGAAGGCAGGAAGATAAATAGACAGAAGGGTAATGTTATTTACTCAAGGATCAGTGGAATAGTACAAGATTACTGTCAGAGGCAGAGTTAAGACATGTACCACTGAGCAATATTCTAGGGGAAAAAACTATTTCTTTATGCTGTTAAAATGCCACACTTCTCTCATAGGCATAATTAAAAATATAAATTTTCCAGTATAATCATTTGCCGATGAGCTGATAGAGACATTCCTATACAGTCACTAACAACTACAGTTACGATTATTGGGCTTGCCAATTACAGCTTCATTAGGATGTCTTGGAAATATAGAAGAAAAGTAGGAAATGGTGGAAGAGCTGGCAGAAGCAAAGAGTGGCAGTGGGTAGCAGAAGGCCATAGAGGGGCAGAAGGAGGAGGCAATGGAGAAGGTGACAAAAGAAGTTCCAAAGGGCTGCAGCAGAAGCAGAGAAGGAGGAGGTGACAGAGGAAGTGATGTAAGAAAGGAGGCAGAAGAAGGTGGTGGAAGAGAAGGAGATGGTGAATGAGATGACAGAGTAGGTGACAAAAGAAGCTGGAAGAAGGTGGTGAATAAGAGAAGGTGGAGGCAGTGGAAGGTGGCAGAGGCCAAAGGTGGAGGTATGCAGTGGCTAAAGGGTGGAAGCCATGGAATGGTGTGGTGGTGAAATGCAGTGTAAAGGCAGTGAGACAGGAGGCAGCTTTGGCATATGGAGGCAGTGGCTGATTAATTCAGCAGTGGAAGGTGGCAGCAGTGGGAGGTGGCAAAAGGCAGCAACAGGAGGCAGTGATGAAATGTGACAGCAGACTGCACTGACAGGAGCTGGTGGCAGCAGAAAGCAGTGGAGGAAGACAGCAGAGACAGGCGGCGCATGAAGGCAGCAGCGGTGGAAGGAGGCATCAAAAATGGTGGTGGAAGAAGACAGAAGAAGGTGGAGGTGGCAGAAGGAAGGCATTTGCGTTGGAAGGTGGCTGTAGCAGATGAAGGCAACAGAAGCAGGCAGAAAAATAGGAGGAGGAGGCAATGGTGGAGGGAACAAAAAAAGGCAGAGGAAGAAAACCACAGAATAAAGAAGAAGGAAAGGGAGGAGGCAAAGAAAAATTGTTGTAAGAGGAGAAGGAAAAGGCTACAGACAAGGCTATGAAGGAAGGTGGCAGAAGACATTGGAAGAAGAGAAAAGGGAGGCTATGGAAGAAGAGAGTGAAGGAGGAGGAGGAGGAGGCTGTGAAAGTAAAGAAGGAAGAAACAACTGAGGAGGCAGTAGAAGACAATGGTGAAGAAGGCAATGGAAGAAGAAGCAAGAGACAACATAGGAAGTGAAGGAAAAAGGTGGCAGAAGAAGTGAAGGAGGAGGCAATGGCAGTGGTGGAAAAAGGCAGTGAAGGAAGAGAGGGCAGACAGAATGCAGCAGAATGCAGCAGAAGTATGTGATGGAAGAAGAAAAGCAGGATGTGAAAGAAGGAAATGGAAGAAGGTGCTGAAATTAGGCATGAAGGAAGTGATGAAGAATGTGACGAGGTAATTGATAGAAGGAGACACCACAAAAACATGGTGGAAGAAAAGGAGGATGTGATGGTGCAGGTGACAAAGGAAGATGGCAGAGGAAAAGAAGGCAGAGGGAATGGAGAAGGTGGTGGAATAAAGTCTCAGAAGACTGCAGCAAAAAAAGAGAAGGAAGACTTGATGGAAGAACTTGTTAGAAAAAGCAGGAGGCAATGGAGGAAGGCAGTGTGAGGAGAAGGCCACAGAAGAAAGCAGAGGATGAAAGTGGTAGAAGAAGGTGATGTAACAAGAAAAGGAGGAGGAGACAGAAGAGGTAGAATAGAATAAGGAGGTGGAAGAAGGGGACAGCAGAAAGGAAGGAGGAGGCAATGGAAGAAAATGTTGGAAGATTACAAGAAGATGAAGGAGGAGATGGAGGAGATGGCTGTTCTTATTTTGGTTGGCATAGCGTTAATTTTCTTCTTAGCAGTTGGTGCAGCACTATGTTTTTATTATGAGAATAATATTGATAACACACTGATGTTTTGGTTGTTCCTATGTAGTGCTTACTCTACGTCAAGGACTTTTCAGCTTTCCATGCTCTACCAGCAAGGAGGTGAACATGAAGCTGTGGGGGAGCCTAACTGGGACAACTGACACTAACTGGCCAACAGGATATTCCACACCACAGAATGTCATCCTTAGAATATAAACTGGGAGGAGCTGGACAGACAGAACTAATTACTGCCCAGAGATAGGCTAAGCATCGCTCAGCAGGTGGTGAGCAATTGCACTTTTTCTGGTGTTTTCTTTTTCTGTTATTGTTATACTTTTTTTTTTTATTAAATTAAACATTTTTTTTATTTTATTAAACAGTTCTTATCTCAAGCCACAAAGTTTTTTACATTTTTTTCTCACATTCTTCTCCCTATCCAGCTGGAGGAATGGAAGTGAGGGAGTGAGTGAGCAGCTGCATTGTGCCTAGATGCTGGCTGGGGTTAAAGCATAATGATCCATTTTTGGTGCCAATGTGGGGCACAAAGGGTTGAGATAACTACAGATCTGACCAAAGTGTGATGAAGCAAAATGATTTTTTGCATATTTTCAAACAAAACTAAAGCCTTCATTTATATCAGCTAATGATACGATAGAACTGCTAGTCTTGAAACTAATCTGATCTGTGTGCTCAGCATTGCTGTCACCTCTGTGATTTGGGAGCCATCTATTGGGAACTATAAATAATTACATGCTTTGCCTTTTCTCCTTGCAGAGCCAATGTAGGGGGGAAAATTCCTTCCTTCCTTCCTTCCTTCCTTCCTTCCTTCCTTCCTTCCTTCCTTCCTTCCTTCCTTCCTTCCTTCCTTCCTTCCTTCCTTCCTTCCTTCCTTCCTTCCTTCCTTCCTTCCTTCCTTCCTTCCTTCCTTCCTTCCTTTTCCTTCCTTCCCTCCCTCCCTCCCTCTCTTGCAGAAAGCACTAAGGGAGACTCAAGATTGATCCCTAGGCTTTTGGAGTCAGGGATACTGAGGATCTGAGGCCTGTATGCTCCACCTGAAAAAGAGATACCGCCACTAGAAGAATAGGAAGAAGTTACAGTGGAAGAAGGTGGCAAAAGAAGTGAAAGGAAGATGGAAGCAGTAGAAGACAAGGAGAAGGGGATGAAGAAGAGAGTGGAATAAGGTAGCAGAAGAACACGTCAGAAGGTGGTATTGGAAGAACAGGAAGAAGAGGAGGAACAGGGATGTGAATGATGTGCAGTAGAAGATGACAGAGGAAAGGACAGAAGGAGGCAGCAAAAGAAGGCAGTGGAAGAAGAAAGGCAACGACTGAAGAAAGTGGGAGAAGAATATGGCAGAAGAATAGAAGGTAGCAATGGAAAAGTAGACAGAGGATGTCTGCTGAAGGGTTGACAGTGGTGAAGAAATGCAGCATATATAGGGAAGGAAGAGACAGTAGACAATAGAAGAAGGCAGCAGAATTTTAAAAAGAGCAGTCAATGGAAGAGGTAGAGGACAAAGATGTTAGAAGAAGAAAAGGATGATTAGGTGACTTAAGGAGACCACAGCAGGCTGTGGCAGTAAACAGTAGTGGGAAAAGACAAGGATCTCTCTTTGGCAAGTGTTTTTAAGCATACCAAACCCTCTCCCTCTCCTCTGACTTTGCCCTTCCCTCTCCCATGTGAATGTGGGAGAAAGTGGGTTGGAGACAAAGAGAACCACTCACCTAATGTTCATGTGGCAACAGAGTTTATTCTTCAGCTCTTCTTTATAAAGGGCATTTGAAAAACCCAGTCTGGATAGCTCATTGATCTGATCTTTTATGCTCCCCAAATCCTGGACCAGTGATACGCTTGCAGCTTAGGAAGGAACATAATTGGTTGAAGTTCCCATCAGTTAACCCAGGTGCTAGCTTATGGAGCTGGCTGGGCAGCTGAATTCATTTGCCCAGTACAAGCCAGCTTGTACGGTGATGTAATGTGGCAACACTTTATTCCTACTTTCCCAGTTCCTTCTCCATCAAAACTGGAGACTGTACCCTGGTCACCACAGCCTTGCTTGGCCACACTCCTCACTAGATGCCTGCTTTCTCTGCCTCAGAAAAGGAAGCAAGAAGAGTGCAGGAAGAAATTATACCAAGGCAACTGGAGAATTTCCAGGACACAGGGAAATTTTGCTCAAAGGCTGGAGAAGAAAATGTGCATCACCATCAGTTGCTGTCTGGATCAGATTTAAATAATGATGGAAGCAATACAGAAACAAGCTTTACGGGAAGGAAAACATAAGCATCTCTATCCAGGTATCCTTTCTGAGAGAGAGAGAGAAGAGAAGTTGTGTGGAAAGCAGTATTCTGAGTAGTCTTTATGTTTCCCAGGAAAGACAGATATTTTATTCCTCCAGCAAACTTTGTAAACTCAGAATCATTAGGGCAATTGTTCCCATCATTTAAGCCCTATCTCCACTTCCATATCTGCCTGAACAAGAACAGTCCAGCAGCAATGTCAGATAAATCCACCTTCTAACATACATCTTTGTCAGGTCAGACCTGACCTCTGCCCTCCTATGCTGCTCAAAAGGGGCTGAGATGCTCCCAGGAGACCTTCTATGCTGCAGCAAATGAAGGCATGAGTTTGGGTAACTCTCCAGACCCTTGCAGGATTTAAGCAACCATGACTTTCCTCCAGAGAGATATGTAATAATCTTTGGTCTCTTGCTGGGCTGTAGTAGCAGGGAACATTCCAACACCAGGCCATTCCTGGGAACAAGGGAGATTGGATCGGATGTCCTTCAACCTCATAGCCCTCCAAGGATTTTTCTTCCTTGTGTCCCTTCTCTTTGAGGTAATGTAAATGCTTTGCATCCATGAAAACCTGTGGAAAGGACTTCATAGCATTCCTAAAATAGAGGAAGTTTCCTTTGCTTGCTCTGAACAAGCCACCCCCAACAAGTTTTGCATGCTACTCTCTAAGACACAATAAGCAATCCCATTGTTCCCCAGGCTCCTCAGGCCACTCATAATTTCATAAATCCCTGTCATGTCCTACATCCAGTTTCTCTCCAGGACACTAAGAATCCATGTCTTTGGCAAGGGCAGAAATAGAAAAAAAGTATTGTGGCCATAGGTTAAAGAGAAATACAGGCATAGAGAACAATACAAGAGGCTGCGACAGCAGTTTTGTTCAGGTGTGGAGAGATGGAGGATAAGAAGCTTTGGAGAATGAACCAGCTTCTCCAAGAAAGGAGACAGGTGGGAAAAGAGAATCAATGCAACCTCCACCATCAGGTTCTGTGAGGTATAAAAGGACTACTCTCAGAAACTCCTCCTGATTTATGTTCCTAGGAAGCTTTATCTCTGTCAGCCCACAGTTTTACCAGGTTTCTTTTTCCCAGGATCTTGCATCAGCCTGGACAAATGTATTTTCCTTTATCTGAGTCTAGCGTTAATGCAGCTGACTGAAATACTAGGAACATGAAGTTCTAGAAGTACAAGCTGCCATTGCTTGTCCATTGATAATACCTAACACAGCTGCTCTTCAGTCAACATCTCTCCCCCTTCCTGTGCCCCTAGAGCCACCAACTTTCTTCTGCAGCATTACTGCATTAAATGAAAAACTTGTTTGTAACAACAGATGTACACCCTAGAATGTATTCTTTGAAAGACCCTGCAAAAAAAATTACACTGGGTCTATGGAATGTTCAGCAGCACATCTGATGACAGCCCTTGTCTACACAAACGGCATACTTTGGACAAAGAAAATAGAAATTTCAAACTAAACACTATTGTAAACTGGAAATTTTTCTTGCTCCACTTAGTTATGATGGGATTGGAGAGCTTCGGTAATTTTTGACCCTCTTAGTCCTATTACGGACATTTTCCTTTCCCACAGGAAGCTTCTAATCCTTCTTTCTTTCACAGGATACAGCATGTAAGAAAGCTGTGCAGTAATGCCAGTTTAAAGGCCAACAGAATTCATGCACCACCTTGGAGGAGGCCCAGGCCTTGGACTTGTACTTTAACACAAAGGAAAATTTCCCTCTGGACAGTGACGCTGTGCATATCAGTCCTCCAGGACCCACAAAAAATTAATCAAGAAATGGAGAGGAAGGGAATTCCTATTTAGTTTCTCAAGCTATTCCAGCATTTCCAAACATACGGCTTCTTTTTAATGTCTCTGGAGAGAATCCTGTGTCTTTCAGGAGCTAACATGATGAATTTGGCAGCTGCTTGGAGAATGAACATGATTATTCAGCAAAGCATTAAGCTTTAGAAAGCTTTGCATCATGACAGAAATCCCCACTCCCAAAGAGAGGGATTTCAGAAGATCTCATTATTTTTGTTTGCAGCATTATTGTATATCTATATCACACTCATAAACATCAGAATTGTACTGAGATTCTTATGTGGCAAAAATGAGTCTGTAGAACATTCCAAAGATGAATAAAAGCATGGTTCAGTACATAGGCAGACATTTTAATAAAGGTTAGAAGAGAGACATTAGAAAAGGGAGATGCTGAGCATTCCCACATTTGACCTATTTGACTTGGGAAACGAGGAGGGGCACAGGATCGTTTCTCTATCCTCCCTTTTGAAATTACAATGGAGGAATTTGATTTAGGAAAACACTGTATTGCATATGATACAAACAGACATTATTCAAGAAAAGGAATTTGCTCAAATAAACTGAACAAAGTTAACCACTGGGTTTGCTAGATTTCTTTTTTTTCCCAAATAAATGCAATGTATCTCTCTGCCCACTACTTAAAATATGCAACTTTGGGTAAAAACATGCATTTTTAAGAAAGATATCATCAGCACAGAGGAATTTGAAAGAGGTTTGAGTTGTTATTCCTGTTGTACAGGTGCTGTGTGTAAGAATGAGACAAACAACTACACGTCTTCCAAAGCCAAAAGGTATTTTTAGATTGAAGGCTACCTTACGGAATAATTAGAATAGCTCTCTATCTTAGCAGAGGTTTATGATTAACGTGTATGACATTTGTACATTCTACCAATGCCTGTTAATTCCCACACTTGGATCTTCAAATTTTCCACAGTGTACTTTTTGTCTGGAGAAAACCTTGGACTAGAGATAAGACCATCACCAAAAACGTATTTCTAGCAGCTCCCACGTCCAGTCAGCCAGTCTGGGTTTGAGGTCGAATCGAGACCATGAAGTGCCTGCTGCTTCTCGCCTTTATTGGGGTGGCTGGTGAGTATATCTTTTATTTCTATTTCTGCCATTTAATAGGAAGCTGATTTTCTAAATCAAAACTGCAAGGTAGCCTGTTGTGGGAAAGCCAAGTCAGTTTTGACTTGCACAAGTCAGAGCCCTGCAGGTTCCATCTTCTGTCTGCTCATAATGCCTTGTGCCACAAGCTGGAGAATGAACACCTTCACAGGGTTTTCTGACCCAGCTATGGAGATGTGGCCACAGCTTCTGAAAAAGGCTGCTTAGTTCCTTCGGGACCTAGGAGTGCACAGGGAATAGCTCTGGACCGAGAAGTCCTAAAGCAACTGCAAAATTACAGACCCTCGGTTGGTGCTCCAAGAAGATGTCACTGCACAGTAGTTTTTACTTTTCCCTCAGTCAACCCTTGACTGTCTCAGTAGATGGGGTTCAGAGAAAGAATATTTCTGTGTCCCTGTGTTCCCTCAGGGAGTAGCCAGCAGGGCTTTACTTGCAGATACGTGAGGCACCTGTGTAAGTCTGATCCCCTTCTTTGAGGGTGCAGCAAATGCATGTGCTTTAGACCTGCCCACCAGCGCTGCCCTGAGTGTCCATAGGAGGGGAGCCTGCAAGTGAGGGGCTTCAGACAGGCAGTCACAGGGCAGATTACAGGCCACATTACCTTAGGCCAGCTGTTGACACATGGCACTTCTTGTCCCCCAGTTGCCTTCCCCACCTTTGCTGAAGACGATGATGACAAGATTGTGGGAGGCTACACCTGCGCACAGAACTCTGTGCCCTATCAGGTGTCCCTGAATTCTGGATATCACTTCTGTGGAGGTTCCCTCATCAGCAGCCAGTGGGTCGTGTCAGCTGCTCACTGCTACAAATCGTGAGTGAAAAAATTACATCCTTCTAGAACCTACTTCTGTCTTCCAGTTCACTTCTAGCAGGCATTCTGAGCTATGAGATAGAAATATGTAAGTGCCTCCATTCTCACCAGAGACAGCCAAGGGATAGGTGGCTCATTCAGGAAGCCAGGCCGAGGCATCCTGAGGGGTTTTCCATTTCTGCAAACGTTCCTGTGAATGCAGAGCATTTTCTGATATAAGAATGAGATAATCAAGCAGAGACGTCTGGGCTTTGATTTCCTATCAATTGCATGAATCTTGCTAAAGCATTCTCCCTGGAGAACAGGAAGAGGATCAAGGTCCGGCTGGAGCCGTTTGCCTTGTCCCAGAATATTTGTATCTAGTGCTGCTCTGTATTCAACTGCTGCCAGGTATTTACAGACCTGCAGAAATTCACCACCCATGATGGAGTGAGTTAAGATCTCAGTGTGGATTCCCAGGGCTCCCTGCAGGACAAGAAAGATGCTCTGCCCCAGAAGGCTTCTGTGGCAGTGGTGTTGGAGCAAGTGCACTCAGTGACAGGGAGGTTTCTCTCAACCTGCCCCCAAGCAGTAAAGGACACGCTGTGCCTTCTGTTTTCCAGTCGCATCCAAGTGCAGCTCGGGAAACACAACCTGGGGCTCACTGAATCCACACAGCAGTTTATCAACTCTGCTAAAGTCATCCGCCACTCTGGCTACAGCTCCTACACCCTGGACAATGACATCATGCTCATCAAGCTGGCCACCCCAGCCACGCTCAGCAAAGCTATCCAGACCATTCCTCTGCCTACCAGCTGCGTGGCCGCCGGCACCACCTGCCTGATCTCCGGCTGGGGCAACACTCTCAGCAGTGGCTGTGAGTACTCTGGGGGAGCCTACAGACCTTTGGGGGCCCAGGACAGTCTCTAGGACCTGGCCATTTACCCCCAACAGGACAGGCTAAAACACAGGGAAGTGCTGTGGGACAGCTTTTTGGAGTGATGCGTCAGTGTAGGGACTGCACAGTTAATGTCAACAGAGTTGTCAGTTCTCTGAGAGTAAGGGTGAAGTCTGGGACTGTGGAACTTGAATTCCTACCAGAGATCCCTGTTCTCTCACACCCATGGTCAGAGATGTGCATGGCCAGTGGTGTCTATTCCATTGAACCTGCACCAGAGGAGAGGATGGTTTTCCTGAGGCTCAGGTTTCTTCCAGTGCATGCATCACACAAGTGGCCCCACCTTTGCCAACTGATGAACTTCCAGGTACCAGAAAAGTTAAGGCAGCTGCAGTGTAGAATGGTGGGCCCATGGGTAGAATTTGTTCCATCTCTACAGAAGGGACCCAGGCTGTGCTTACTGTGGACAGGAAGCAGGATGGCTGCTAGAACAGGGTGTCCAGCATTTGCTTTTCTGCTAAGATCTTCCCTGAGCTCTGAAAAGGACTCAGCAATGCCAGCAATCATCTCTCCCTATTTCTTTGCAGCTAACTACCCAGACGAGCTGCAGTGCCTGAAGGCTCCAGTCCTCACCGACGAGCAGTGCTCTGATGCCTACCCTGGGCAAATTACCAAGAACATGATGTGTGTCGGATACCTGGAGGGAGGAAAAGACTCCTGCCAGGTAACTCATCTGCCTCTCCTCACCCAGTCATTTCTCTCCCACCTTTTCCTAGCTGAAGAGGCCTCCACATTACAGAGTCAGCTATGCTCACTGCACTGGTAAATCTGAGTTTTTCAATGACAGCAGAGGCTTCAGGCACACATATCCTGAAGGTTTGCCAAGTACCACATACAGCAAAAGCAGGCAGCTGACTCATCCTTAGCTCTGGTGCCCTTGAAGCTCAAGTGAGGCATGGTAGCATCAGGTGGAGAGTGTGAATCTCTCAGGGATCTCTGGCTCATTGCTTAGGCTGATGCCATTTGCTGAATATCCATACCCTTTGTGTGCACAGGGAGATTCCGGCGGTCCCGTGGTCTGCAATGGACAGCTCCAGGGCATTGTCTCCTGGGGTTATGGATGTGCCCAGCGGGGTCTTCCTGGAGTTTACACCAAGGTTTGCAACTACGTCTCCTGGATCCAGTCCACCATCGCCTCCAACTGAGACGCTTGTTTGGCGTGACCTGTATTTTCTCCTCATCATTTCTGTTCTTTTGGGTCTGGACAAGCAAAAATTATGAGAAATTAATAAAAACTTTCAGGCACCCCTACTTTGTGCATGGTTTCTCTGGGAACTTCCATAGCCTGTGATACAGAATCACAGAATCAGAGAATTTTTAGGTTGGAAGAGACCTTTAAGATCATCGAGTCCCACACATGTTCTAACACTTCAACTAGATCATGGCACCAAGTGCCACATCCAGTCTTCCCTTAAATACATCGAGGGATGGTGACTCCACCACCCCCCTGGGTAGATGATTCCAGTATTTGACCACTCTTTCTGTGAAAAACTTCCTCCTTAATTCTAGCCTGTATCTCCCTTGGTGGAGCTTCAGACTGTGTCCTCTTGTTCTGTCTGTTTTTGCCTGGAAAAAGAGACCAACCCCCAGCTCACCACAGCCACCCTTCAGGAAGTTGAAGAGAGTGATAAGGTCACCTCTGAGTCTCCTTTTCTCCAGGCAGAACAACCCCAGCTCCCTCAGTCGTTCTTCATATGGCTTGTGCTCCAAACCCCTCACCAGCCTCATGGCTCTCCTTTGGACACACTCAAGCATCTCAACATCCCTCCTAAACTGAGGGGCCCAGAACTGGACGCAATACTCAAGGTGTGGCCTCACCAGTGCCGAGTACAGGGGAAGAATACAGAGCAGATAGATAGCGTATGCCACACAGAAGGAAGTATTTAATATTTTCAGTGCCTGTAGAACTGGAAGCATGTTGGAAAACTTTACAGACTTGCTTTGAAAAGACTTTCAGTCAGTTATTTCAGTTGTTTCTGAAACCTTTCATTTATGACAGTTACACAACATTTCTCACTTTGAAAAGGCCATTACAGGCTTCTACTGGCCCTTGTGTAGCTCTCCAGTCCACTGCAGAGGATGCTGCTAGCTTCTAGACACAAGGGATGCCCTGAATCGCCTACACTTCATTACCTCCTGTGCAAATAACAGCGCAGGGTCTCAGAGGAATCTGATGCTCACCTAAATTTTCATAATCTGTCAAGGACAGAAGCTGGGAATTCCTTTCTGGAGTGTGAAGCACAGACTTGGTCAGGGGAGCTGCAGCTCATGCCATAGCTGTGGGGACATGGAGCTGCTGTCTGGTGCTCAGGTTCTTGTGGTTAAAGCCCAGTCAGCTGCTGGGTATTACAGGCACTCCCTCACTACCCCCTTGCCCTGGTGGGATGGGTAAAAGGGTAGAACTGAAAGGCTGAGACCCCCATCCTTCCCTCCACACCCACCCACGCCCAGCCTGCCCCTTCCACCTGCTGCATCTCTGGAGGGTTCCTGCTATCCTGCAGAAACAGAGTTTGTGCTGACGCACAGTCTGTGTCATTGCCCAGGGTTCCCAGCCAGCCAATGCCTTCTGTCATTTCTTGGCCAGCCCCACCCCGAGATGTCTCACCCTCACTCACTGCTCCCTCTGCACAAACCTTTGGGCAGCTCCAAGAGGCAGCTTGCTGACAGGGCAGGGGCTCTCCAGCCATGGTTCCCTGCTGTTTCTTGGTGGCCATGCTGGCCCCTCTGGGTAAGTGAACTCAACCCAGCCCTGAGCACCTCCACTCATCCCGCTGCTGCTCTCCCAGCTGGGGAGCCACTTCCTGCCACTGCTTCTTCTTTTCTGCATGGAGGATCAGCAGTGAATGTGGGGGCAATGGGAATGCCTGAATCTTCTGCAATGGCCATCTATTTGTCATTCTTTCTGCAGCCAGCAGACCGTTCCTGGGTTTGGATACAACCAGCCCAGGAATGCACCTTGCCTATTGAGGAGAGATTGGAAATTCACCTGCAGATCTGAAGAGCTGTCCCGTGCCTTCAACTGCACCCTTGGCTGCTCAATCCCTTCTCACCCTTTCCCTACCAACTCACAATGCCTAGTTGAGTTTTTATTTCATTTTTTCCTCTTCCTCACTGTTCCTACTTTTCCTTTCCAGTGTTAGCCCTGGAACAGTCTCCAGACATGGTGATCAAAGAAGACCAGTCTGTGAATCTGGAATGTTCCAAGAAGAAATCCTCCAGCACAGCTATGTACTGGTTCATGCTGCCTTCAGAGAAGAATTCCAGTCTAACTCTACTGGCATCTGCACTACAGGGTGGTAATGCAGCAGTGGAGAAGGGTTTTGAGAACCACTTCAAGAGCAGCAAGATAAAAGGAGACAGTATCACCCTCTCAATAGAACATGCCTTTCTCAATGACTCTGGCACATACTACTGTGCTGAGGGTGAGCACAGTGGTGAGACTCCTGAGGGAGCTGAGCACAAACTTGTCCCTGCACAAACAGGACCTGCTTTCCACTTGTGGCTGCTGCACAAGGCCGGGTGATCACTTCTCTCTCATTTACTGCTCTGCTTCCTGGCCTTGCCTTCCTCCTCTTCTCAGATGCTGACAGTTTATTTGTCCATCATTGTCTCCTTGACATTCCAGGCCTCCCTTAACATGTAAGTCTTATTTGCACTACACTTGCTTCTGTCACCACTTCTTCTGCTCTTTGTCTCCCTTTCCTTTCCTTCCGTAGGTTCTTCTTTCTGTCTTCAATCTGCACTCCATTGTCTTCCTCTTAATTAACTCCAGTCAACCCTGCTCACACTTCTCACTGTCAAACGGAAGGAGTGTTTGTGGGGGAAGTTCTTGCTGCACCTGTGCATGAAGGCAAGGCCTGGCAGGTGTGGCAGTAGCCAGCACCATGTGGCAGCTGCCCACACGCTCCTCTGTTCCAGCACCTTGTCTGTGGTTGTTCTGTGGCCAAGGAATAGGAACAGCAGAGCACAAGCCTGTGCTTGCTCTGGTGAAGTGTTCTGTGGATCCCTAAGTCCTTCATGTAGAGTGGTGTCTGGGACAGGATCCACCTGCCTTCCAGCCCTTGATCCACACAATACAGTTTATCCTTGCCAAAACATTCTAAAATTACAAGGTACGTTCAGAAGCTGTGCAGCTAATACAGATTTCCCAGAGGTTACAGTGTTCTCTTCATCAGTGGTTCTCATGAAGTGGTGGAGAGTCTCCTCATGAACGTCACTGATTACAGCAAGTAAGGAGGAATTGCTGATAGTGCCACAGTGCTGCACAGCCCTTCAGATGGTGCAGGAGCCTCAGGGGGTAGGACGATCAGGATGGATGGAGACAAGAGATCTCTGAAGCCAGGTCATGGAACTTGTGGTTTATTGCAGAGGGCGTGGGTGCAGGGCCCTGCTGGGAGCTGCCAGCCACAGCTCAGAGCAGGCCCGAGAGAAGAGAGGGGTAGAGAGAATGAGAGGGTAAGAGAGTAAGAGTGTAAGAGCGTAAGGGAGTAAAAAAGCTAAGAGAGTAAAATGGGTAAGAGAGTAAAAGGGATAAGAGAGTGAGGTTCTTGTTACAATACAATAAATCTTCTGTGATGAATTTTCTAAGTCTCACAAACTAATCTAGTACAATATACAAAGCTTATACATTTACATAATGTAATGATTATAAAAATCATTACATGACTGTACTGTGTTACATGTTAAACCCTAAAAACGACTCTTTGGACCCCTTCTGCTAAGCTAGTAGGGTCTGCTCTGACTTTTGGACTTGTCTGCAAGCAGAGGGCAGTATTTCATCACAAGGGGTTTACCTTCAGCTGGCCACACAATTGTTTTCTAGTTGTTCAGTAAGGAATGTATCTTAAAGTTTGCCTTCATTTCAATCTCACTTATAGTTTCTATATGCTCAAAATCTTTTGCTAGACAATCATATTTGTAGGGCTTTCCTGTTTCATCTTCCCCAACAAGATGGGCCTTGATAGGTTGGAGGGATAGGCAGAGAGGAACATCCTGAAATTCATCAAAGGCAAACGCAGGATTGTATCTGAGTGGAAAAATAACCCCATGCATCAGCACAGGCTGGGGGCTGACCTGCTGGTGAGCAGCTCTTCAGAGAAGGACCTGGGGGTCCTGGTGGACAAGACGCTCCCCATGAGCCAGCAATGTGTCCTGGTGGCCAAGAAGCCAGAGGTGTCCTGGGATGCATTAGGAAGAGCATTGCCAGAGGCTCTGCCAGGGCAAGGGAGGTGGATCCAGGTTCTTCACTGCGATGCCAAGCACAAGGACAAGAGGTCAAGGGCAGAAAACGATGGACAGGAAGTTCCACCTGAATCTAAGGTCAGAGCTTTGCATTGTGATTGACTGTGCACTGGAACAGATTGCTCAAAGAAATTGTGGAGTCTATTGGGAGATATCCCAGAACCATCTGGACACAATTGTGTGCCACGTGCGCTGGGATGACTCTGCTGGAGCAGGGAGGTTGCAGCAGGGACCCCCTGAGGTCCCTTCTTGGCTGGCCCATCCCATGATTCTCTCCTGCATGACACGCACCCGTGCACAGCACAGGCCTGCTCAGGACTCTCAAGGTGGTTCCCACCCTGCACATTCCCATGATAATGTCCAAGCTTCCCAGGACCTAAACACAGGGTCCCACACAGCAGCCATGCCTGTTCAACCTCACTGACTGCTCAAATCCTGTGTCTTCTGCAAGGCTCCCCCTGCACTGCCCTGCCCTCTGCTCACCCCAGGGAACTGGAGACCCTTGGCATGGACACATCAGGCACAGCCTCCTCTCTGCTGGAGTGCTGCTACTGCTGCTGCTGCTGGTGTTGGCAAGATTTGGGGCTCCTACAAAGCAGCCCAATCTCTTTGCTTCTTTTTGCAACTACTGTAGAGGAATCTGGGGTCTTCCCAGAAGCTTCTCTAGGCAGCCTGGGGAAATGAATGCAATGGGACACACTCAGAGCTGCAGCAGAGGATTTGGGAGGAGCTGCAGGCATTGCTGCTCTCCTCTGCTGACAGGACACAGGGGAACATCTTCACTGCAAAGCCCTTCAGAGCCCTGGGCACTGCCATCACTCCATGTCCTGTATGGGCCACCCTCACCCTGCTGTGCACACAGCCCAGCACGGATGGGCAGAGGCTCTGCCAGAGCTCTGTGCCC